CTTATACTTTATATACATATTTTATTATTCCTAAAATATATTATCTATTTTAATATTCTATAATCTATTAAAATCATACGATTCTACATTCTAAAAGATTTTCGCGTACGATTAATTATATACGATATTATAATCATTAATATTTCTATTTCAATTCCAAGTTTTCTGTAATATATCTAATTTAGTAAGAGGCGAAACAAGATCCATTTGACGGCAGATATTAACTCGGATATTATATTTATCCGGATCCTAATTATGTACCCGCGAGGTATTAAATGAAGCCCCGGGCGCCCCCCTCGTGCGGTAATGGCACTTGTACGGTGTCCTATAGTGGATTACTTTACCCTATAGTGCCTGTACCGGGACACGCCGATATATCCAGGCCAGCTGCCCGGAAGAGCGACCGCGACACTTCCTTCCTGCACTTGCGCGTCCTGTCTATCCACGGTGTCTCGTAGTTCCGATTGCGATCTGTCATACGATCGATACCGAGAATACACCCGGTCATCGATATCCTCGCGATACGCGGCGACACGAGAAAGGAGACGGATGCATTCAACGTGACACGATTTTTCTCATTTCACGCGATTTTGTAAAAAATTGTGAAAAAATTCTACATATTATAATTGATAATTGCAATTTCTTTGATAATATTTGGTTATTTTTGGTTCATCAATTAATTTATGGAAGCTAATTTGCTCTTTCTAATGAAATTAATTATTTTCTGAATATAAATGCATTTTATACGCGTACCAATGAGATTTGCGACGATGAAAATGTTAGGAAACAATGGAAAATAAACTTTTTCATGGATACGTGTTCTAAATCCTCCTCACCTATCAAATATAGAATAGAATAAAATTCCGAATTTCTCAGATTGTCGACCAAAAATGTCTTTTACTAAATGAATTTCGTGTTGTATTTTGCTACGGTTTGACCTTTAGATATGTTAAAGTGTTTCTTTGAAATTCCATTTCTTATTCTATATTGTAAATGGAAAAAAGACATGCCTTTGCTTCAATTAAGTTAAGCTGCGATATCGTTTCTTATATCGATTTAGCAAACGGGCAATCCTATAATTTACGAAACAGAAATAGTTCAGTAATGATATAGGAGAAAAAAGAGAGTGCCACGATATGAATATTTACTGCTAGATATACCTACTCGTGTGAATATAAAGATAATGCAATTTCTATCTCACACTCTGCTAAAAAGAATACCATACCGGTAAAATAATTTCTGCACTCAGAACAATAATTAAAATTTAATAAAATCAACAGAAAAAGATTGTATTAAAAATATATAATTCTTATTTTAAAAAATTCTAATTTAAATGATAAGAAAATATAAGTGATAATATAATTCTACATTTTTTTCTGCTATTGTTTCTCTAAAAAAATATAAAAAATCAGATTAAAGATTAAAATTAATCAATATCTTTCGCACACACAACGGGATTTATGATACATTCTCTCAACTATAAAATATTTAAATAAGTATCTGATCTTAGGTCATCATTTCTAAAGAAGGAAAACTTGAATAGTGCTCAAGTAATACAAGGTAATTCATCGTTGTTATAGAGCAGATCGTACCGAATAGAGGTGACAGTTAAACGTATGACAGGAAACGTAAAAATGCAACGAGACACGTGACTCATCGCAAAGCGATGCGCAGGTTCCCATAACTATCCATTAAACACCAGAAACATATCCCACCTGTACATACGAGGGATGCACCCCGCCCTGTCAAACCGTGCAACAGTGCAATCATCCATCCCTTGCTTCTCGTCCCAAAATCGTGCGTGGGAAGCGGATATATTCGCAGCCCTCCCACGAACACTTTCAACACTTCGATATTTTAATCGTACTGTGTACACACATGAGATGCGCTATAAAAGTCGATATTTCGATCAAAATAGTAAATTTATAATCAATTTTTTTTACTCAAAATGCAATCAACATTATTTTCCAGAGCTTCTTAATTTTTAACACCCGACATCTTTACAATTTTTAAGACTATTAAATTTTAATTGATTTTAAAATTCAAGATGGATCGAAGAAAAAAGTTAAGTAATAATTTCGTGGACAACGGTCACGGCGAAAATATTCCGAAACCATATGTGCGGGATTTTCTCAAGGGCTTCTCGTTCGCGTCCCGCTACAACTATGTCCATTTCATGAGGAATCGTCGCTATTCGAAGGAGGGTTTCCCAAAATGTCTGATCCCGCGATTAGAAGATACTTAAAATAAAAAAAAAAGAAAGAAAACGGGAGACACCCGGTCTAGAATTAATTTGGCCTGATCTCTTATGGCTTCGCAACATCTTGTGTTATTTCTTCGAGGAAAGGTTTCTCAGCACGCGCCTTGCTCGCGATATATTTTGTTGTACATCGTAAAACACTCAATTGCAATCTTTTTTCTATTAAAATAATGAATATCGATATTTTTATTTAATAATACTAATTTATGATAAGATAATAAAATTAAAAATTCTAGATATTAATTCATTTGTAATAAATAAAAATTGCCTTTTGCTGGAAGATCCGTCATTAAAATTGAACAATCCAAAATTTTCCTCGACGTTTCGTAAAGTAATTTCATGTGAAAGAAAACGGGAGACACCCGGTCTAGAATTAATTTGGCCTGATCTCTTATGGCTTCGCAACATCTTGTGTTATTTCTTCGAGGAAAGGTTTCTCAGCACGCGCCTTGCTCGCGATATATTTTGTTGTACATCGTAAAACACTCAATTGCAATCTTTTTTCTATTAAAATAATGAATATCGATATTTTTATTTAATAATACTAATTTATGATAAGATAATAAAATTAAAAATTCTAGATATTAATTCATTTGTAATAAATAAAAATTGCCTTTTGCTGGAAGATCCGTCATTAAAATTGAACAATCCAAAATTTTCCTCGACGTTTCGTAAAGTAATTTCATGTTACAAACTCGCCGATATAAAGTCGATTAAAACAACGTACATACATTTTAAGATCGCTGCCGACTTTCACACAAATAACTACGGATCGCGATAGATATGCACCTCAAAGTCAAGTCCACAGCATTTGTCCGTGTCAACGAACTTATCAGGGGTCAAGAAAGGGTGATAGAACCTTGGCTTTCTTCTTACGCTCTTTATCGTGGCCGTCGCGTTTCACGGCGACATGTCGCCGTGACACCGAATAACGGTGCCACAAAGGGAATAAACGATGGAAAAGAAAACTCTTACGTCGGCTCTAATTTACCGATCGCATAAGCGAACAAAGTAGCTTTCGTGCGTTACATCATATGCATTTCCTCAAGAGGGAATATATCAACACGTGCGTATTCAGGCATCGCGTATATGTGAGTTACGTCAAGAGGGGAAGAAGAAGAAAGGATTATTTCGAAATTATCTTTATTATACGGTATCCGATATCGAGTAATTGATAATTTAATTTTCTATGTTTCTGATAAATAATTGCGGTAAAAGTACTATTGCAAAGACTCAAAGACTTATATGAGAAGAGATATGTTTGATTATAAAATACGCTTGGTTAGATGACTAATAATGTAATTTTGCATATTTCTGACAAAGAATCAAGAGAAAATCAAGTTAAAAATTAAGTTAAGAGAATTTTTAAGCAAACAATTTATGAAAATTAAATATTATTGTCCAATGTATTCAATTATCAAATAAAATTTATACTTCCACAGACTTTCATCACTAGAAGCAATAATCTAACTAAAATTAATAATTATACTGAAGTAATTAAATTATCAATAGCTTAAATCGTCGAAGCATTTAATAGATATTTTCTCTCCCTCGAGCTATCCTATTTTAATATCTTTTCTTTTTTCTTCGCGTTGGAAATTGAGAGAGCAAATTTATTAGCCTCGCGTCCTGGCACGTGCCAGTGGCAGGATCCTCTTACTCGTTACCGGTCATATAAAGACTCATGTACGGGTTCCTCGCGGTGCGCAGAAGCACCGTAATTTTACAGAGCCGGGTATATATATATAAGGTTATTATATTTCCAGAAGAGACGGTCAGCGTCTGATATTTTTCCCGCATATACCGAATTATATTACGAGGCGCACGTAATTAGTAATGCAAAAGACCGAACTATAGCTTATAAAAATTAACAGAAAACATCACTGTAAGAACAGAAAAAAAGTATTTTTGGGATATTTTTCTATATAAGTGACAATTTAAATTTTAGATAGAAAGTCCGTCCTTCATCTACATATCAATTAAATAGGTTTTAAAAATGTTTTACTTTTTATGTTTTATTTTTTAACACAAAACTTTGTTAAAAATCAATAATGTATATAGATGGAAAATTTGCAGTGTACCGTGCATGTTAATACTTTTATAAAAATAATATTAATGTTTTCAAAAATGCGTAGGAACACAAATACAACGCTAGATGTATTTATAAAGTTTCTAAAAATGCATTTTTTATTTTAAATCATATTAATTGAAGTAATCCCTGAGAAAATGTAGAAACGCATAGTTTCTATACTATTTTTTAATAAGATCTTATGTAAAGCATATCGCGCCGATTATATATATATATATATAATAACCCTTCGTATATAACATCGTAACGTATATAATAAATATATAATATTTTTATATCAAGATTTTATATTCTTTATCCTATATTTAATTTGGCAAAATTATGGCGTTGTTTGATATTGACTTTACATTAAAAAGGATTATTAATTCGTGTCGCCAAGTTATCACGATAAAGCCAATTTCTTAAAATTAAATAAAAACAAATAAAAAATGAAAGTTATAAAAATAAGATAGCTAAATAAATGCAAGTAGTAAAAGCGAAAATAGGATACACAAACGTACCCGCATTCTATGATTTATTACGCGTGTTGATATTTCATTCAAATTATTTGATTCATGTCATTTATAAGAGATACAGCACCGATTTCGACGAATCATCTATCAGCTGAATCATGCTTTAAACATGCCGAAAATGATATCATCTGGTACTCACCATAATCGACATTCCTCGACCCTCGGCACCTTCCCGCAGAGCACTCTTCCTGGAATTCTCGATCCTCCGCATACTTCGTTGATTGCCGGAGACCTGAAGCTGAATCTTCGTCGTGTAACACATTACACTCGCGAACGCGACATTCGTACACACTCGCGATGACCTTATTTCGGTATTTTCACGCGCTCACGACGCGTAAACATTCCAGTCCGCCATGATGGACGTCGAGTCGCAAGGTTAAAAGTTGCGCGCTTCCAACAATATCGTCGTCAGATTTTTCACGCAATCCGATCGACGAAACGTTTTGTCTAAACTTGCCGCACATGACACATGCACTCTGCCGTGTTACTTCGACCTTTTAACTCGACGAAGTGCGCGAAACAATCGACAATAACGAGAGAGACGATGCGACGAGCGCGACCGCGAGACGTGAATATGCCGACAGGTTGATGCGCGAAGTTAGCCGCAGCGATCTCTGAAAAGTGAAAAGTTTGATCAAATAAATATACTTTCTTAAATTAAAAAAAAAAACGTAGATTTTACTAAAAATGTTTAAAGCATAAAAATAAATAAATAAATAATTATATATATATGTATAATATATTACTTATTACTTATTAATAATATAAGAGAGAGATGAAGGGGGGAAGGGGAGAAATAAAAATTATATAGCATACAAAGCAAAGCGCGCAATCACATTCGTCGAGCGTTACGGTTCGCCTTTCTCGACATTTGCGCTTGCAACGGCATTATCGTCGTTGCCAATCCGCGAGATTAGTCCTCATAATAATGCACCTGCCTCACGAGGACGCGGTACATAGGCGGCACAATTAACCCCGAGATGAGAATTACCGACGCGAGAGCGCAACCCGATAGCGATCTTACGTTATGTACAAGCCGTGCGCATACTGTCGTCTGGCACGAAGGCTCTCCGCGATGATTGTTTCGTTAAGAATTAATCGCCATCTTTATCTCACATTAATCTGAAATCGCGGACGAGAAATTCGAAGTTTCGAAGATGAGCAATAATTAATCAAGATCGATCACAGCTAGAAATACCTAGAGGACATATCTAGGCAAAAGAATACTTTCACGTCGAAACTGTCGATTTTATAGAATATATGTGATAGAGAATGATAAATTATATTTCAAATTCATAGTTTTTTCTAATTTTATTAAATTGATTCAAATATTTTAAATTATGTGAATAATTTATTTAAAACAGTTAACTTTCAATCTCTTAATTTAATTAATTTTATATGTAGGCGAATTGAGAAACAGATCGGGAAATTTAACTTTTTATAGTTATAATAGAAATTGAATGATATGTGTGTGTAGGGGGGGGGGGTGGATTTTACCTAGAAGAAATTATGATAATCGATCCTGTATGTATGTGTATTATTAGAGAGAAAGAAAGAGAAAGAATATAGGTATTTATACATATTTACACAAGCGTTGTTGACTATATGTGCCTAATCACCACTGATCACGCGATTGGCGCGCGATAACAAAACAAATATTTCTGCTAACGTTCCAAAACAACTGTACGAGTAGCAAAATTATTACAGAGGAAAGTAAATTTCTCATACTTATACGCTGTTATAAGATAGTACATTTATATTATCTTTCTCTTTGAAATTTCTCTCACATATCGCATTATATATAACGTTAATCAAGAATTATTTTACGAAATATATATTTTCTAACATTATCTTTATAATTGCGTATAATTACGATTTATCATTATAAAAAGTAAATATTCAATCCATTACAATGATATACGAAATACGATGTACGCGCGATATTATATAATTGTGACATAATAAATAATTCTATATTGTAATTATGCTTCATAATCAAATTAATATATCTAAACAAATTTTATAGATACATGCAATAATATATTGCATAAGTATTAATCGATTATAAAACGATTCATTATGCGTCCATTTTAATTGTCAGGAACGTGAAATTAACCTCGGTTTGAATTAATCACAGTCGATACGAAATATTCTCCGCTCCGATGCATATAAATTAATATATATGTCGTATGATCGATATTTAAACATCTTCTATATCCTAATTAGCGCTGATTAAATTCTGTGAATTATACATGCTTTCAAAGAATAGTAGCTTCGTCCCATTAGCATCGAAATAAATTCACACTGTTCTAGATATTAATATAGCAGACGATATAAATTAAATCTGACACAAGAGGAGATTAAACCGAAAATCGGATTACAAGATTCGGTAATCTTGACGATAACACATTCCAAAGATAGAACCGTGAATGTCCAATTCGCATATTGCGTTGACGCTACAAAATTTAGACGATTCAAAGTAAACTTTCTATTAATTTTCTCACCGGATTTAGCGAATAGAGAGAAATATAAAACTGATAATATATAATTGTCGATCAATTGAAATGTTAATTCTTTCGATATATCGTAAGGTCCATATATTCAAACTTATCAATATATTATATAACAGCAGTTGATAACAATAAAATTAAAAATTAAAGAATTAATAAAAATAGACAATAAGTGCGGGTTACATTGTTGAAATGAATATTCTATTTGATGTCGCGCGGAAAAAAGATCTGAAGTTAAATTCTGATTTTTTGAACGATTTGAAAAGATTCATATTGATTTTTCTTTGCACGAAATTATAAGTCTCAAAAGGAAATTATCGTTAAATGTTAACATTAAAGTTTTTCTAACGAAATTCACGCCTAAGGATATGATACTGCGGCGTGTAGTACGCGAATAGTAATCGGAATAAGTAATTGACGACAGCCCAATCTCGGCAATTGCAGGCCGGTCGGCATTACGCTGTCACCGAAACCCCAGTGACCTGTCATTCAAGTGTCACATAAGAGAGACAAGAAGAAAACATACCCCTCGTAACAACAGAAAATCGAGAGATCGCAGATCACGCGTCATAGGGAAGAGGCGGAGTCTGATACAGCGTTACGTCACCTCTCGGGGAAAAGTTGACAAAGGAACGAGAGAAGATCAATGGAGATGCGTTACGTGTTATCGAAATCCGACCCTCGTTCAACAATATAATGGGATATTAAATTAACATTGAAATCATTACTTCGAGAAAATCTCTCTCTCTCTCTTTCCTTTTTATTATAATATTCTAAGATTTTTTCTAATATGCAAAATAATCATGTAATACGCACGAAATATTATATAAATCTCCCCAAAATTCAGATTACCTAAATATATACAGGGTGTTCAAAAAAAAACCATTCAATATTTATATGGTAGATAAGACACATTATACTGAGTAAACATAGCTCAACCGTTTCTGAGATATAAACATTTTTATATATTAGCATCTCGATTGACTTACCGGCTTCTACGTGTCGCATGCGACGTGAGAAAAAGATAATCTGTCTAAATCTTAATCTCGATATTTACAGATGTTGCACATCCTCCTTCCATTTCCATACACGCTTGGCGTCTTACAAAATCGCGAATTCTCTCGAAAATTCCAGGTCTCTGTCGAATTATTCGACAAGCACGCTGGATTCGGTCACGTAATTCTTCTAACAATAAGTCATTTATCGGCGAAGAATACATTATGCTTTTCAAATAACTCCGTAATACGCTGACATTTTCAACACGATACTTTGTAACTGTGTAATCACCAAATAGATCCGCAATCGCCGGTTGATGACAACTGACTGATTGCCGATGAAATCTTTTATTATGAAGTATGTATGGAAATTGAATGAAAACATTCAGAGCGCGGTTTATAAACACTGAGGTAAACATCGCATGCGTAAAAGCCAGTAAGTCAATCATGATGTTAACATACAAAAATGTTTATATCTCAGAAACGATTGAGTTTTCGACTTATATTTAGTAATATTTTTTTACTCAGTATGGTTTGTGTCCTATCTACCATATAAATATTGAATGGTTTTTTCTTTAACATCTTGTATAAATATATAAATATGAATAAATAAATATAAAGATAATACAAATTTTGTCCGCATACATAATAATCTTAACATAAGAAATTTTGAAAGAGCCACATTAATAAAAGAATCTGTGTTTGCAAATAAAATGTGCGATTAACGGCAATTCTACGACATCCTATTAATATGTTTTCGGAAAGCCATGCAAATAAAGTGTCAACGCAAAACAATGGGGCTTTTTGTCCAACAAGTTTTATCGTTTCTCCGGCGAAGCTTGCTTGCTTTTTATTAATTGCAAGTCGCTTGCAAGAAACATCGAAGTTGCTCATTTAGCCCGTAAAAACTCTTTATCAACAAAGTTGCCTGCTAGATCGAAACACTAGATTATAAAGTTCTAGCACGATACGGCAACTTTCGTGGCACTAAGGTTTTTCACGTCTCGTTATCGTACATTATTACGTCTACGTAAATCTGCACTCTTAATATTGCACAATCAAGGAATATCTTAATCCATTTGTCCAGCAATCATCAATTTTATAATGCGAATAAAAATAATAACTACGATAATCAATAAATGCATCTATCCTATAATTCTGTTAATAATAGCTAGATTATTTAATGTAGCGTTTTATCTCGGAAGAGAACAAAATAAATGGTAATATAAAAAGAAAAAATTATAACATCGAGTAAAAATATTTCGTGACGAGAGGACACGTTATCATAAATCAGCGTTCCACATACCGGGTGCGATCGCCTAATCTGTGATCGTTTAATCGCGTAACACGGTACGTGCGCTGGCCGGATTTACGTATTCGTGCCAGAAGGAGGTGAAAGTGTAACACTGTGTCGCGGATAAATGATTACCAGAAAATTGCAGTTCACGTCGACCGGCCAATCCATTTCGTAGATCGCTGGGTCCTTTATTCTTTTTCTTTTCTTCTTTACTTCCTTCACTTAGGCGTTTCTATCCGTTTTTTCTTTCCAACGACACGGTCGATCGATGCGTTAAACCTTCGCCGAACGATTAGAGCGTGTAGATTGCACGCTATTTTGCGAGCAAGCAAACCGCGATAGTTGTAAGTACCGCTGTGTGTACGTTATAAAAAATAAGAAAATGCAATCGCGTTGGAAAAGCAAATTCACGATCTGCGATAGAAAAAAATTTTCTCTCTTTCTCGCGACAGAGAATTAAATAATATTTTAAGACACGGTTTATTTTACTCAATAAATTTTATTTACGAAATCATTATATTGTGTATTTTATATGTATATTCGATTTATTATATATCATTTATATAAAGTTACTTAATTAAATACATCAAATAACACACGATGTAATTTAGCAAGTATTAAATATAATTTAAACGATAAGAATCAAATTGGGAAAATAAATTTAATAAAGTGTGAAATTATTGTATATATATATATATACATATATATATACCCATACGCGAGATAAATATTGCATTTGAGAATTTAATAGACTTTTTCTAATGATAAGAAAGAAAGGCTCGTTAGATCCACAACTAATACATTTTTCTGAA